ATGGCAACATTTAAAAAAGAATTCAATAGGATGATGAAAGTGTTTGCAAAAGGCATGGAAAATATCCGGAACCTTGTTGGTATCCGTAGCAACACGAAAGCTTTAAAACTAGAAATCATTCCCAAATTCAAGGAACGGACTATATTCAACGAAATATTGGCTGTAATCCACAGGACACGCACCAAGTTGGTAATTGACAAACCAATCTACTTTTAGTACCTACGTTATGAGATTTTGGACCTGCTAAAACAACTGATTTTGAATTAGACTACCCCAAACCCCAATAAGGAACGCGAGCCACAATCTGTTTCACACACAATACTAACAGCCTCAATTGCAATATTCAGACCACAGACATTTATAAATAGATATATAAAAATGTACATCAGTGGAACGATATCTCCAATTACCCGACTGACAATAAATTTGAAGTTTATACTAAGGTCAACAAGAAAGCTTCTGGAATCTTTAATGAGCCGGCTGGCCAAACTTAGGTATTCTCCACGTTGCCCATGGTACCAGAAATCAAGGTAGACATTGCCTCTAAAATTGCAAAAAGAATCTATGCCCTAGACCCGTACGATTTTGTCACCATAGTGTGAGGGATACCTGGTGTTTCACAAATAACTATTGCCGACTAGCCAAACTAAGACATTCTTAGGCCATGGTACCAGAGGTAGAGGGAGACATTGCCTCTAATTGTCTTTAGCACTTATACTATAGACCCGTTGCTAATTCTTCTCCGATATCTCTTTGGACATTCGATATCTATCTTTCTGGTACAGAGCTCAAAAAGATCTTGACCACATCTTCCCTCTGTTTCTGCATTGTACAATTTGTTTAACAAAGTGCACGTGGTTCTCTAGTTAACACCCTGTCGTCATAGCACTTGAAGATATAGCAAATTCCGGACGGTGTGTGCCTCTGGTAGGGTATGGTGTCTGGTTTGCAGTCATTCATTCGGCACCAGCAATTCATGATTTCTTTCTGTTCCTCGATTTATTTCACAAAGTCTTGATTTTTTTTTCTACGATCCCTCACAATTTTTTTAATTTACGTCTTCAGGAAAGCATTCAAATTCTGCATACACTACGAAATAATGGAGCCTTCATTGATCTCATATGTTTTTTTTAATCTTGAAAGGCCCCTTGATCCGGCGTCTTGATATTTGCAGTTATCTTGGTATTATATTGCTCTTTTCCTGGGATAGGGTCACTTTGGAAGTGATTTAAGGTAGATCATAAGTATATATTTTTTTAGATAGAATTGTCTTATACTTTGCCAGAATGAAGATTTTACTATGCTTTTTTCAAAAATATAATAAAAAGTATGGGTCACCGTGCTATTTTTCTAGCTATGAGTCGGTGAAAATTGCCTTAATTTGGTTAGATTGTTCATGAAAAAACACATTTGTGTGCATAAAAAAAATTTTATGAGATAGAATTTTGAAATAAATTGTAAGAAGATAGGTTTTATAATATGGTTTAAGAAAATAAAAAGAAAAAATGGTGTCACCGAACTTGTTTTCTTGCTACAAGTAAAAATTAAAAATTTCCCTATCAGTCCAGTATAAATTTTACTAAAAGAGTTATCTCCCCTTAAATTGCTTAGTTGAACAAAATTATTCTAAAACACAAATGTTTGGTATTTGTTTAAATATTTTGGATAATGTAATAAATCAGCAAGTTTTCTTCATATATATAAACCGTCTAATTAATAAAATTGCACATCTGTCTACAAATTTGCAGATTTGGGTATATAACTAGACTGATAGTGTACAGCAATAGTACAATCCAAGATGGCGGTATACCATGAATCTACCTTAAAGAGAGGCAAAAGATAACAAAGGGATATTTAAACTCACAAGTCGAAAACAAACTGACAATGCCATGGCAAAAAAAATCAAGACCAAAAAATAAACAAGCACACATAGTGTGGCAATTCGTCTTTCTCAATCTTCAACAAGTCCACATTCAGTTCTCTTTTGTCCGAAATCGTCAGTGGTTAAATCTTTTTCTTTTCTAAACCATACACTTTGATGAATATATTCGGATTTTTTTCCCTCAAACTTGGTAATTTTCTTGAGATTCGCTGTGAAATCAATCCTTTCAAACGTTAACTCGTCTCCAATCACTGGTACTTGGTCACCCGTTCATCACTTTTAGGGTCTACCTACCCCTTTGTGGTGTATTGACGCCAAAACCAACCACTTAAAACATTACTCGTCCTGGTTCTTCACATCCATGATCGCTTTTTTGTCACCTATGTAAGACCTAGCATTGAGATCCGGCAATTGATCTATATTTGCCGATATCAAATTTTATACTAATCGACTCTTTCAGTGCCTTTTTACTTTTATCCTCTGTTCAACTTTCAAATTTCTCTCCTTTTATTATACATCATTTTCAATATATCTTCAAAGTGTTTTCGAAATCTGGACACGAAACATGCTCAGTGTCTATAACAGTTTTATGAAAATCAACAAATGTGTCAAACATTGTCAGCGAGGTTACTACTGATAAAGATAAATTGTCAAAGTTTCTTCAAGCACCTGGCAAAGTAGCAGTTGAAACTTTAGGTGGTAATCATACAAGGCATGCACTACAATATTTATTCGCAAGCCAAACAAAACCTATTAGCATGGTAACCTGTCGGTTATACAACCAATTACCAGACGAGTTGGCGCTACAATTAGGATATGAACACAATGCATCTAATACATTAGGAAAACCGACAAGTTTTGTTGATTTAGTAAAAGTGTTTCGAAAAGAAGCAGCAAAAATAGTAGGAGACACAGATATTAGCTGCATGCAAAGTAGCGAATTAAAGCAATGGAAAGATTTAATATGTACCATTCTAGGGATGGACAGAACGGCGGAAGAATTTCATAACAAATACAAGGTTGTTTTAAAAATTGCAAAATCAAAGGATTCCGTATGGGGAAAATTCTTAGATTTCTGAAATGAATGAAATAAGAAATACTCCAAGAGGTTCCTTAAAGGTTACACAGTTGAGAGATTTTTCAATGCTTTCTAGTGATAACCAAATACATATTTTGGAAGAAACTTTACAGACAAAAGACTGGAGAGTATTTAAGAGAGAAGTAGAAAGGTAAATAGATGCCTATCATGTCGTCTGCACTGTTAAAAGTTTTCACTGCCTTGCATGGTTTTCTCAAATGTTGATTTTATATATGTAAATGAACGATACTTCCTTATCATTAATTGTTCATTTGTTTGGTTTGTAAAATATGCTTCATAAAAAAGGCATTCAGCATACATTTACGTTCGTGAAGATCGGGAATATTATAAAAAAAGAACCGTGACTTTTCAAATTTCATTCACAGTTAAAGGAAAAATTGGAGCATTTCATCGACCTTGAGGAAAACTCATTTGTAATGTTATGATATCAAAAATTAGTTATGAAAAAAAGAATGTACACACCAATTTTCAAAGATTTATCACCTATAAAATCGTTCACGAAAACAAAACAAAAAAAAAACCCCAATTAACGCTTAGACAAGAATAAAGGAAATGTGCAGCCAATGTCAATAAGAGACAGCAACCTAACGACACAAATAAACAAAATATATCTAGAGACAGCACATAGCCTTAAAAATATAGACGGTCTCTATGCAATTTGTCAAGCTATTAATTGTCCATTCTATACATGCTGTGAATAAGTTAAACAGAGACTACCAAAGATCTTTCATGTACACCGTTTTATCGAAATCACAAAAAAATGCCCGTTTATTAATGTCAATCGCAAAGTCATCTCGTCAACCTTTTTCAATAGGTAGGGTACACAGGCAAATTTTGTTCACGTAAATTTCACGTGAAAATCACGTGAATTTCACATGAAATTTTTCACGTGAGATTCACCTCAAACGAGCTTATACATGAAACTCACGTGACATTTTTCACGTGAAACTCACGTTAAATTTACGTGAATTTCACGTGAATCGAGCTTTCACGTGATATTCACGTGAAATTTTTCACATGAAATTAACGTGAATCGAGCTTTCACGTGAAATTCACGTTAAATTTTTCACGTGAAATTAATGTGAATCGAGCTTTCACATTATTTTTTTTAAATGAAATTAAGGTGAATTGAGTCTCAATCACACAAATTTCACAGTATTTCAGCATATTTTAGATAAGTAAATGCTAATCTAGTACACATTCTATTTTGATATATATAAATATTCTTCTTGGTCTTGAGGATGAATTCATACTTCCATTCTACATGTTCTATTTTACTTTCTCTTTGTATCTTAAATTTCTTGGTCCTAAACAATACAAATAATATTTATTCATCAACTCCAACTCACAATATCTTCAATGCAGCAGATAGATTCAATAAAACCAAGAAGGCAAGCAAATATCCAGGGCACCATAGTTCACTCCTAGAACATTTTTGGTTGTGTTCAAGTCTCAATATTTTTGTTAATTTGATGTATGGAAGGTGATTTATTTATAGAAGATGTATGCACTGATGTATATTTCATTTTTAATATGTATGTATAAGTCTTTTTGTGTTCATCAGTTTTGAGACATTCCAATCACATTATGGACAAGTATTACTTGCAAAAGATGCCAATTCTTCTTATGAGTTTTTTGAAGAAAAAAGGTAGTTCACCCTGCCACATACTCATGTACTCTGGTCAATTAAAACAGATCATGACATATTGTTTCGACACCTGTCTATTGTTGAGGACTTTTCAGGTGTTTTTGTTGTTGTGTTACTGTCTGATTGATTTATACCTCAAACCTCATTGTATTAATAAACTGAAATAGAAAGTTCTGTGAAATATATTTGATATACCATATTGAAAGTCTTGCTGTTATTTACAACCATTTCTTTCTTATTTCATATATGGTTTTCAGTTTTTCATTTTACCACTGATCTTAAGGTTAAGTCAAAAAGAAAATAAATGGTGACAAACAACAGGCATATACCATTAAAAGATCTCAAAGTTTGGCTTCACAATAAGCTAAAAATTCTTGTTATTTATATATTTATAAAAAATTCATTTTAAAACAAGCATTTTCCATTTTTAGACAGTAACTGTCATGTTGACACAATAATTTGAATTAGAATTGTATGATATACTGAAAGTACTTGTAGTTGAAAAAAAATATATACAATATTTAATTCCTGGTGTTTAGATTTCTAGAATGCACCACGCCCATATCATGACTACATGTTAGTAATGTTCAAGTGTTCTCTCCTGCATATGTAATTGCTACATGTATTTATACACAAGGCTTCCTTCATACATTTGCACTTATCCTTCTAAGATGTTGCTTCCATGATAAAATCCTGTAGTTGCATAATCAGCCATAAACTCTTGGAATACATTTGCTGTAATAAAAAATAAAAACCCAGCATATATTATTTTGTAAAATATACATCAAATTAAATATTGCCTTACTATTCAAGCAAAAATGATAACATCAATTTAATATTTAAACTTACCGGGTACATATATGTATATACTTTTATAAATTGAGACTTGGATGGAGAGTTGTCTCATTGGCACTCATACAACATCTTCTTATATCTATGTATATAATCATACATGTATATTGTGTGTCGGATTAACTGGAGTGGAATATTAATAGTTGTTGTTTGTTGCTGCACTACTTTTTGATTACCTCTGCTATGGAGCTTGTGGAGGTTTGTAATGGTTGAAATTTGCCATGAAATCTGGAATTTGTAAACATTACAGATGGAAATCAAAATGCTCTGATCATTCTGATGATATAAACCTATTTAATATTAATTTCATAAAATTCTAGCAAGAATTGTACACAAGAGCCATAACAATGCAATTTTCCAAATAATTAATGTTTCCAAGGGGCATAACTCTTTTAAAAATGAATGATTGGCACTGATTTTAAAACTTGTCAGACATTGTTGATATAACCTATCAAAATAAGTTTCCTAAAAATTTGACAAGAATTGTACAAGACATGCAAGTGAGAGCGCTTATAAGGCCAAAGGGATAGACAGACTCCAGGTATTTGTATGTCCCCTCTGTTTTATGGTGCTTGTCCTAAAGATACAAGAATAATTATAAGTTTACGATAAGGACCAAATATACTTAACATTACCAATGATTCATAAAAATATACTGTCAAGCAATTCATATTAAGGTCAAGTTCAGATAAACCAAGCCAGACAGACATGTGCACCTTACAACATTTACAATTATTGCATACACCAAACTAGAGGCTCCAAGGACCCTGTGTCGCTCACCTGATATTTTTATTTACAATTGATGCATGAAATAATGTAACTGTTATACTTTTGCTTTAGTTTCAGAGATACAAGTCAAAAACTGCATTTTCCCTTTATGTTCTATTTTTAGCCATGTCTGCCATGTTTTTAAAAACTAGATCCCCTAATGATGATTGTGGCCAAGTTTAGTTTATTTGTCTCTGTTGTTTCAGGAGAAGACTGTTGTGAATTAAAAAAAATTACGAAAAATTGTTAAATTTTACTTTAAAGGACAATAACTCCTTATCAGGTCAATTGACTATTTTGGTCATGATGACTTATTTGTAGATCTTGCTTTGCTGAACATTATTGCTATTTACAGTTTATCTCTATCTATAATAATATTCAAGATAATAACCAAAAACTACAAAATTTCCTTTAAATTACTAATTCAAAGGCAGCAACCCAACAACAGACAGATATATTATATATCATAATCTGATAAACATATTTTACCCAATGTCAAATTGTCTCTAAATGCTTTACTTTCAGAGATATAATCCAAAAACAGCATTTTACCACTATGTTCCATTTTAAGCAATGTCTGGTAGGCGGGGTTATCAGACACACTTTTTACACTAGATACCCTAATGATGATTGTGGCAAAGTTTGGTTAAATTTGGCCAAGTAGTTCCAGAGGAGAAGATTTTTTAAAAAGTTAACAGACGACGACGCCAAGTGATGAGAAAAGCCCCCCCCCCTTTTTTTTTTACAAAAAACTCAATATCTCTAAAATAAAATTTTGAATCAAAACCAAAAGGTATACAGATCTTTAGATTAATATAACTAAGAAGTGTGTAAAATTTCAAGCAATAATCATAAATTGTTTTTGAGGTACGGAGCGACATGTGAAACCCCCCTTTTTAAAAAAAAATCAATATCTCTAAAATAAAATTTTGAATCAAAACCAAAAAGTATACAGATCTTAAGATTAGTATAACTAAGAAGTGTGTAAAGTTTTAAGCAATAATCATCAATTGTTTTTGAGATACGGCGCGACATGTGACGAAAAACCACACACCTGTTTAAGTTACTAAGTCCCGTAACTCAAAAAGTTTCAATCTTATTTTCACCAAAAAGTATACAGATTGTTTGACCATCATAAGAAACAACTATCTTATTTTTCATGAAATTTGGATAAGTCGTTCTCAAGTTACGGTGCGACATGTTTACGCCGGACAGACAGACGACATTTGTATACCATAATACAAAAAATGTACATCCCGTCAAAACTTTGACGGATGTATAAAAAGCTGATCTTTTAATTGATTATACATGTAGCATGTATAGTATACACTAAACAGACTAAATTATTAAATCTTAATATTGACCAATGAACCATCCAAATCAGATCATGCATGGTCAGATGAACTCTGTCCAGACAGACATCATGGACATGTACAACTTACAATCATTCCATACATCATATATACTTGACATATTGCCTACAAGAAATAAAAGTTAACATTGACCAATGAACCATGGAAATGAGGTCATTGTTCATTCCAAACACCAAATACAGTTGATCTACTCAAGTTCTGCTTACTATATCTGAGAAAAGGATCGACATGTGTTAATCACGACATGTGTTAATCACGTAACTTTTACCTTGACAGCTCCATGAAGTAAGGTCAGGTGATCCTGTCTCACAGACATGTACGTGTACATATAAACATTGCAAGGAACCAATATTCCAAATACAGATATCCTAATTTACTCATAATGTAAAAAAAAAGAAATTCACAAAGCAAAAAAGCCTAAACTTTTTTTCAAGCAGTCGCTGAACCATTAAAATGTGATCCAACATGGCCAACCAACATATGATGGACAGAAACATTGTAAAAAAAGGCATCTGTATACAATTTATGAAACATCCAAGTCTACTACCCTATGAAATATACATTGTAAAGCTTAATAATACAAATAGTAAAACCCAGCAGCCACTACCTTATGCATGAACTTCCCTTTTTTGAAATTGCCTTCAGTATTTTTGTTATTGTTATACCATTTGGACTATTAATACTGTAACAAATATACATACCAATTACATATACATGTATTGTAGATATAGGATCTCCTCTACGTCTTATCCCATCATTAATCATATTAATTTCATTGAAACATATGATGTGTATTACTTCCATTCCACTGACATCTGAGGAGTTAATTCTGAAAATTTAAATTCCTGTGATTATCACGTAAAACACCTGAAATTGATGCACTGCTTTCCGATAAAAAATAAATTGGCAATACAGTTCTCTCTTGGTCATGTTGGTGAATATTTCAAAAAAATATTTAACGAGAGAGAAAATAAGTGTCAGTTTTTTAAAATTTTATATTACCAATACTGGTAATTAGAATGTCACTAGTTTTCTGATTTGAATTGACATTTATTGTTATTCATTTTTTCAGGATCTTGTACAGCTGACACTACAGTATGGTTTTGTTCATTGTTGTAGGTCATACAGTGACCTAAAATTTCTTACATCCCCTTCATGTCGACTGGCAGAAAGTTTTCTCATTGGCAATCCTACCCATCTCCTTATTTTTAAAATACTAAATATTTTCTATCTGTGACAATAAAATTTTATTGATTTAATATAAAGGTATTCTGATCAACACTATGAGGCAATGTTCAAAACACTCTGTCATTGTCAGCGATCAAATTTATTTTAACTCCAATGGCAATGTATTTGTGCAAGACCCAAAAGTACTGCACATGTACATGATATACCCACATACATGTACATATACAATGTACTTAATAAATCAGTGAGACATAAAATGTAGGTCAAAAAGATATCATGCTGCATCATAATTTATACAATGCAAGTCATAATCATGTACATGATATTTGAACTTTATAATAGTAAAGGATAGATAGTCTGACCAGTAATAAAGCCACACAACACTGTGTGACAACAGTGAAATATAAGTCACCATTTATAAAAGGGCATAACTCTAGAACAGTTAAAGTGACGCCACCAAAATTCAAACTTGATCTGTGTTTTGTGGTAATAAGCATTGTGTATAAGTTTCATAACATTTGGTTGAGACAAACTTAAGTAAGAGAACGGAAACTTAAGATTTTGCAATTTTTCCATTTATAAAGGGGCATAACTCTAGAACGGGTAAAGTGACGCCACAAAATTTCAAACTTGATTTGTGTTTTGTGGTAATAAGCATTGTGTATAAGTTTCATAACATTTGGTTGAGGCAAACTTAAAGTAAGAGAACGGAAACTAAAAATTTTGCAATTTTTCCATTTATAAAGGGGCATAACTCAGTGTTCTAGCCAGGATTTGAAAAGGGCAGGGTGCTAGTCAGAAAAAGGGCAATTTTACACGTAAATGTCATTGAAAAAAGGGCAATTTAACGTGTAATTTTCATTGAAAGAAGGGCAATTGATTAAGCCTCATAATTAATTAGCATATAACTTAGACACTATGGTAATTATATAAAATCAAGTTTCAGTTAAAATGGAGTAATATAATTCAATACTTTTGGCAAAAAATTTTATGGTTTATTTCAAAGTTCATGATGTTGAGACACTCTTTAGCATCTTTAGTTTAGTATATAGGGAACTTAAACTTATATTTAACACAATATACATTTATTTCCAGTGACAGAGGGAGATATGAAGATTTGTTCACCCAAGAATATTCATATTTCATGAGGGCTCTGCTTTTCGTCCTGTTTCTAAAGCTTATACAAATAAATTATATATTTTCCGACAATGTACATATATTGTATATTTATGTTTATAACAGCTGAGCAATAATAATTCATGGAACTAGAATTTAAGCGATGACAAGATAGCAAACCAAACATTTTGTTAGTAAGGTGAAATATATTTTTTCTGTCTTGAAAGATATTTTTTTTCTTTTTATTCTCGACCGACCAACTCGACTTTTTCATGTGTAAAAAAACCCTGGCCTTACCATGCTAACTCCTGAATGGTTAAGGCCATAACCCTCCAAAATCAATCCCAACCTTCCTTTTTTTGGTATGAACCTTGAGGTTCAATTTCATAGATATCCTTAGAAATGTATGGGATTTGCTCATAATTGAAGGCCGTACCGTGACCTGTAGTTATTTACTTCTATGTCATTTGATCTCGGATGGAGAGTTGTCTAATTGGCAATTATACCACATCTTCTTATTTTTATATTATATTCAAATTAATGTATGGAAACCAGAAAATCCTTGTTTTTGGGCCCTAAATTCATTATTGTATATGCAACTTGTCATGGTAAAACTATACAACAATCAGGATTCATGACAATTACCAAATCAATATCTCCAAGTATAACAAACAAAGAAAGTGAAAAACAGATTATTTGCCTGAATTTTCTAAGTCCAATGACCATAGCTATGCAAAGAAAAACATCTCAACAGAATAAATATTGAACTTGATCTGTAAATTTGTCATGGTAAAACTATATACAATGTATAAATATCAAATCAATATTTTCAAGCATTACTTAAAGTCCCCTTGGCTTTGCTGGTAAGGGACTAATAAACATTTTAATATTTGTTATCATGGTTTTATCTATTTCAATCATGCATGTATGTTTTTCAATTTTCAGAAATAATTGTTTTTTTAAAGTTGCATGTAAATTCTCAAAGTATAACCTGTGACGAAAAGTTGGTTATACAACTTCAACTAAAGTGTGTATCCTTGTGTTTGTGCTGTGTTGTTGAGTGTATTAGTTTCAGGTCGTGCCTTTCACTCGTACACAGTGTCACTGATTACAGTGTTACAGGATTACCCTAGAAAAGAACTGGTAGCGTGATTGATGGAATCCTGGTGTAGTCTGAACGAAGTCTTGCCAGTGAACATAAACACAAAGTTGATTAAAAGTTCAATTCTCATTACTGAATTATTCAAAATCCAAAGTAACAGTAATATAAGTTTACAACATCTATTAAAACTGCAGGCTCAACAATACAGTGGCATAATCTTAAATCTCTGAAGTACATTTCTCTGGTACACAAAATCGTAACTCCTTCTCTACAGCTATTTCTCTTTTTTATACATGTACCTCTATTTGCCCTAGTAACCTGATTACAATATGGTTAAATGACTCTGAACAAAGAAATAATCAACCGGAGCTAGGGCTACAGGAGCCCGGAGTTGAGGTCAATTCATAGAATCATACATTATTTTTTCAAACCATGAGTTGGATGACGAAGATGGAATTTTTTCTTCGAGTTTTCTTGTTTTGTATCAACTTTTGAGTATACATGTGTGTGTGTCTAATAGGTGTTTATTTTAAACGGAGTTTTACAACTGTGAACTGATCAGGACAAAAGACGAAAAGTTGAAAAACATTCTCACTATTTCTGTTTATTTCTGCACTATTAAATCATTTATTTGAGTTACCTGTTTTATTTCCTCGAGTTTCTATGCGTTCATAACTCCTTGATTGTGTTTGTCTCGTTAAATAAACAGAAACAAGTACTTGTTTAAGTTGTTGTCAGTTGCAATTGGCTACCGGCGTCTTCAATTTGCATCATTCATCTGAATCATTCAAGCGTTTTAAAAACCGACCTCCGGTCCCGGATATCGTCACGAAGAATAGTTATCCATGACCATGTGCAAATAGTACATGCTGGTTTCCCCATTCAATAGTCTATTATAGACCAATATCCAGTGTTTCTTAGCATAATCAGCATCCAGACTTTACTGACTCAATTCATTTTTAAAATGATATTTACTGCTTAAAGTCCTGACTAAGTAAGACATATAAATGAACAAATAACAAATTCGTTTGTTTACAAGCATCATTTACATAGGAGCACCCCTTTAGTAGAGCATAAAGTTTAACCCTTAAAACTGTTTGATATATTTTAATATAATATAAACTATATTGTTAGATAGAATTTCAATGAAGTTATTTCATTTAGTTGAAGAATATATCGATATGTTTAATCCAATTAACAGCCTGTCTAATTGGCAATCATACCCTCACATTTATTACAGCTAAATAATATTAGAGACATTATTTAAATTAGTTTAATGCCTCTGGTAATAATTTAATGTCAATCAATAATTTTCGATAACATACATAGCACATTAATGCATTTGCCTGGGACACTATATAGGACTTAAAATATGTTTATTATCTATAAATTTTAAAAGATAATTAAAAATATTTGAAAATTATACAGCATTTTTAGGTGTAAAATTCCTGGTTTTTCATGTTTCAAGACTGTAGTTTTTTTTTTAATAAATAATATCAGATCTATCGAAGTTGTAAATTTAACCAACCATTCGCTATAAATTAACAAATTATTTCAGACAATCCTTAATTTTCTCCTTAAAACATACTTATTAATAAGCCAGATAAAAATATACATTGGCGATTTAGAACTTTTCATAGGGTGGGAGCACTAACTGACCTTAAACATGGGGGGGGGGGGGGGGGGGGGGGGGGGGGGGGCTCCAGTCATGCTTCAGTGATTCCCTATATAATCAACCAAAATTTTTCCCACAAAAGGGGGGGGGGCAGATGATATATGTAGTTACCCTAACTACCCTACTTTTTAGTCTTAATAATAGCCTACCCTAAAGATTTTTTTGTCATTTTTCATTAAGCACTGTTAAGTCAGAATGTTACTCCCATAGACTCATTGAATGTAAAAAAAAAACACAACATAAAATTTAAATAAATCCCTACCTAGTTACTACTGAAATTATAAAATTAATATTTAGTTTAAAAATTTTTTCCCATTGATTGACAAACCCTGACTACTCATTAACTCAAAAGGAAAAATTGAGAAATCTTGATCATTATAAAAAGGTTTATAAAATATTTTGAAGTGTACCAACACATAAATTGCAATCCAGTTGATACACATACAATCCCTGAAAGAAGATATTTTCTTTTTTCTTTCTTTTTTTTAGATGAGGGAGTAGTTAGCATTTACCGCTTTTGTATAATCATATTAAATCAAACATTTTTCATATTTCTGATAGCAAAGCAGTTTTAAAAATATACTGCACTTCCAATATGTATACTTTGACATGTTTGATAAACATTCAATTTAACATTTATTGACAACATTTGGCCCAATAAAATTCTTTTCAGCACACTTACTTATTTTTATTCATATGTCCTATTGTTAATCTTATGTGTGGTTCAAAGCTCAAAATTGCACTTGACTTATAAGTTTGAGGAAAAGTTTAATACACAGCAAAAAAGGGAGATAACTCAGGTTTTGAAGTGATATTCATTATCAATTTTTTTCTTTGCAATTATGGAAAGTAAAGGATCTTAATTACAGTAACAGGAATCTATTTCAAAAGCTGGAGTTACCTCCCATATTTTATAAGAGTACAAAAATAAAGGAAACTTTAAATGTGTGAAAGAAATTAAGTTTACTGATAAATGAAAATAGAAATATTACTGATAAATCAATATTAGCCCATCAATATATTCTAAGTATCTTAGGAATTTGAAATCAAAGATACAAATTCTACCATTATTGCTCTACTAGAGATAAATATAAACAGTGATAGAAAATACAACTCAAAACCAACACTGATCTTTTTGTAGTTGCATCTAATCCACTATCAAGGGAGATAATTCATGCGAAATAAAAAGATAAATATTAATCATTTGATGGTTATATGTCCCCCTTTAATGTAAATTATATTAAAGTGCTAGTAAAAATGTTCTCCTGAGTATGTTTTTAAAATGTTTATTGTGAAATTTTGTTAGAATTTGTTAATTTTTGTATTTCAAACAAATAAAATATCTATATTCTTATTCTAATTCTTCTTCAATAATTATTTTTACATTTTGGCGATTATGTCAAAATGGCAATAATTAGTGCACACACTTAATTATTTTAAACAGTGATTTTATCTTGTGCAAAACCAACCACGTAAGCACATTATATAAAAAATTAGCCTTGGTCAGATCAAATGAATTTCACGTGAATTTCACGTTAGTCAGATCATGTGAAATTCACCTGAGTCAAATCATGTGAAATTCACGTGAGTCAAATCATGTGAATTTCATGTGAGTGAGATCACGTGAATTTCACGTGAAAAAAAGTTTATGTGAAATTCACATGAATTTCACATGAGTTTCACGTTAACAAGTTCACGTTAAATTCACGTAAGTCAGATCATGTGAGTTTCACGTGAATTTCATGTGAATTTCACGTGAAAACTGTTCACGTGAAATTCACATGAAAAATTCACGTGATATTCACGTGAGCAAAAATTCACGTGAAATTCATGTGAAACTCACGTGAATTTTACGTGACTTTCACGTGAAATGAGACTCACGTGAAATTCACGTGAACAAAATTTGCCTGTGTATTTGGTGGTTGGTGTAGACTGCATCCTTGTAATTTTTTAAACTGGTGTTGTTTTAAATGTATTATTGGTATACAAGTGCAATTTCAAAGATCTCTTCGATATTTATGGTAATTAGCCGAATTACCGACTTAGATAATATCACTGGATTTATTTTATAGTGTAAGTTCAGATCGGAAGAAAACAATTGGGGAAAACGAAAGCAGATCCGTCAGATGTTGACAGAAAGATCAATGATAAGTATGTTGGCACTTTAAACGAACATACAGAATAAGTTGCATGTATCCATTGATGACGATTTTTTCTCAATTTCATCATTTCACGGGAATTCCAAATGTCATTGATTTATATGATTGCGTACTTTAATGTTTGAACTTCATTTTGGTGTATTTCCGAACGTGCATCTAAATTATAAATCCCTACTGATGACACACCACTGCCATTTTGATTTATTTTCGTTTACGATATTATTTCAAAACTGCCTTTTGTTAATTATTGTTAACAGATAATTTTAAAAATTTTATGGTTGTAATTTATTGATGAAACTTTTTAACATTATATACCAGACTCTTAAATTGCTATTGCCAGCTGGTTTAACTTTAGTCAGGGAATCAGTCACACCTCTTTCATAACAAGCATTTAAAATGTGTCTTTGTTATTTCTATATAACCCATTAGATAATTGAGCATTTCATTATATTTATCTATTGAGTCTAAAATTAAACAACTGACTGCAGATAAAGAAAAATTGGCAACTACTTCATCCACGTTAAAATCAAAGTTGACAGAAGAACAAAAGAAAAAAGAGGACTTTGAGACATTGTTGAATCAAGAAAGGAAAAAATGCAGTGCACTTGAAATTAAATTACAGCAACTGAGGAGATCAGAGAATGAACTCAAAGTTGTCTTGGATAGGCAGATTGGTAAAAATGAAAAATCTAGTTATCTGCTACAAGTTGAAAAAACAAAATACCAAACCCTGGAAGAATTGTACAATAAATTGGTAAGTTGAATACTTTGCTTTTATAGGGTTGTAATAGCCCTTAGACAAAACGCTTGTTATTTTGTTGATAATTTGTGGAATAATTCTGAAACAGACTTCTGATAGTTATCAGATCACAATCATGATGCATAAAGAGTTGTAATTTATATGAAGTCAATAGACCAGTTTCACATAAGCGACTTATCAACGCTGATCTCGAAATCCTATGCGCGTTTGAGGTTAAATCCCGCGATAATTAACAATATCATACGTGACAGGGGGCTAAATCAAATTGACTCTGATATTTAGCAACACAATAATAAATCAACTAATAATACACATCTCTCTCTCATGGTGTATGCTTGAAATTATTTAAGTTTAATTTTTGATAATCGTTTATTTGATTAACAAATTTAAAATAAAAAGATGTGGTATGATTGCAAACGAAACAGCTATCCACCAGACCTAAATGACAGACGAAAGCAACTATATATCACCATACAGCTCTCGACAATGAAAAAATTCATACCAAAAAGTAAGCTCTAAAAGATCCCAACACCAACAATTCAAACCTGAAAATAAGTCATCTTGTTGCTGCCAGTTCTGTTTTAATATTAGTAACATGGTTTTTATCTTGTAATTGCTTTCTTTTGCCTACTGTGCTATTTACATTGCCGTATATCAGTTTGATTTTTCTTGAAAAGAGAAAAGTATTTGATAAAAAGAAAATACATTTAATTTCAGTTCTGTTCCAGTATCAATTCGCAGTTTTTCTGAAATATTGTTTTGCATCTTCGGCTTGTGACATGCATGTAAAGGGGTTACGGCCAAACATATAGGTTTAGTATCATAGACTCAAACTTTTAATTTTCTTTTAAAAAAAAAAAGGTTATTATTATGGTGACTTTTACGTGAAATTTTATGGGTACAAGGACAAGTTACCGGCATTACTAAATAATCGAAATTTCCACTTATAGTAGTATGGAAGTGTAAACCAAAATTGATAGAATTTGTCCTTATATCCTTTGTCAAAGATGTAGTATATATTGTGATATGTTAAAGATATGAAAAACACAATGGTAGGTCACCGAGTTTTGTTTTTAAGCTACAGGCTGTAAAAATATGAAACCTTTTGTATGGACTATACAGAGAAAAAATTTAAAGTATCATTATATGAATATTTGAAGGTAAAATGAAAGAGGGACGAAAGACACCAGAGGGACAGTCAAACTCATAGACCGAAAACAAACCGACAACGTCATGGCCAAAAATAAAAAGACAAACAGACAAATAATAGTACAGATGACAAATGATAAAATATCAAAATGAAATGTGGGAAGATATAGCTCTTATAAAATGCTTTCAGAATACCAACAGAAAAAATTGACATGTAGTAGACAGGGCCTCGGCTCCGTGTTGAAGACCGTACTGTGACCTATAATTGTTAACTTCTTATACATTGTGACTTGGATTGAGAGTTTTCTCTTTGGCACTCATACCACATCCTCTTATTTGAATGTACATTTGTTTCAAATATTTCTGCGTCAGTGATATTCTAAACGGCCATGATAATGAAGAGAGATATAAAAGCAGTTTTAAAATACGTATCAGAAATTTCAAACATCAGACTATAATACAATGCATTCAATACCTTTTTAATACATGTATCTAAGCTATGTTCATGATCGACTTCGTCTATGCAGAGGTTCAGTCCCAGCAACCAGAGTAATTTTCTACATATTTTCAACTTTATCATTTTTCATGCCATTAAAACTAATAAAATATCCTATATTTACCACGCTTTGCCATACAAAAAGATCAAATTGCTGAATGACCCCCTTCTTAATTATTAAAATATTCCCAGTGGCATTAAGGTCCGTAATGGCCATGATAAATAAGTATAAATTAAGTACCAGGGTTAACATTCTGTATAAGGGGATGACCATTTGATTTTTAGGGGGTCGGGGGGGGGGGGTTTAGAAAATTATATTCTAGTAGGAGTTAAAAATAAATAAGTATGACCAGGCAGGATGGAAAAGAATAATCTGCAGGATGCAGGAAATAATTGTGAAAAAAGGTGAATAAATCAATCAAATAGTCGCCCTTTATCAGTAACTGTATGTATAGATAAGGGTACGTTTTTATCAATTGTCACCTGGTGAGATTGTACAAGGTAAAACGAGGATTCCACATGGCTAAGGTGTTAATTGACTTCTTAATTTATGACCTAATACTATGTAGATGAAGTGAGTCCCGTTTATTTATCTAATTTATTCTTCCCGTTAAGTGAACGACCTAAGCGTGAATTTGTGACAATTAAAGGTACAATTAAAGCCAGGCGGCATATCAGATCGTATATTACCGCAACCAATAACACAGCAGTAGTCCGTTTTAAAATCTTTAAATGTGTCATTGTTTATAAAGTTGTCTCGTCAATATAATTTTTATATTTTGATTCGAATGATGCTCATGTTGCTTCGACATGTAAACGCAAACATTTAATCAGATGATTTTTTTCCCAAGTCTGCATGGTCACTGCTTATAACCGTTAGCCCCCAGTTGATGAACTCTCGGAAATTATCGCGTGATTTTATAGTTTGGCTAATTAGATTAGACATGCGCAGTTAAATGTGAAACTGGTGTATTGACCATTCAGTCTGTTGATCTTTATTTTGCATTACATAATTAATCAAACATCTTTATCAGCTTAGAATAAATACGAGAGACAACAAAGAAAAATACAATAAACATCTTACATGTTATGTACCTGTTTTTACACATAATAATAAAATAGTGCTTATTTAAATGTTCTCAATACGCAAACTCTGAAAACAATGATGTTTTTACAGGAAGAAGCAAAAGCTTGTTTAGAACAGAAAGTTCAGGAATTTGAAGAATCTACAAGATGTCAACATACTGAAAAACACAAAAGCCAAGTAAACTCTATTGTAAGTTTTATCAGGAACATATATATTGACGGGACTTGACACTACCTGATTGTAGTCGATTTTATGTCGTGCCATAGTTAATAAAGATACGATACAGAAACGGACATGTGTTAAAAACGGACTCGCTATTATCCTAATAATTTCTGATATTATCAATAAAATGTCATTCAAACTAGTTTTATAGTGATGCTAGTGTATCAAACTTGTATTCTGTCACTTCAAATTTGTTAAAATCGCATGCATTTCATCACAGAATTGTGCAGAATGCAAACCAGGTAATAAAAAAATGGCGGCCATTACCGCGATGATTTACAAATTCCCAAACTATTATAAAACACTTCACATCAAATAAATCAAACTTATTTTGGTAATTTTATATGACAAAATATATCTACAAAATGATAAAACTTGTTTTTATTTACAGTTAGAGTTATGTGGTTTATTTGTTGAGCAGTTCTGATATTTTTTCAATCAGACGCTACCAAGATCCGTAAATCTCAGGAAGTCTCGGGGAGTCCGAGATTTTATCAATTTTATACTGAAAAGCGTATCAGATTCATTTCCCGTTAGATATACTGTTCCCAGGTTTTATTACCTACGTATATTAACCTTAAAATACAAAATGTCCTTTATTTTTTTGTTAACTGTTTTACATTTGTCATTTCGGGGCCTTGTATAGCTGACTATGCGGTATAGGCTTTGCTCATTGTTGAAGGCCGCACGGTGACCTATAGCTGTTTATTTCTGTGTCATTTGGTCTCATTGGCAATCATATCACTTATTCTTTTTATATTTAGACAGTGTTATTTTTTGTTTGTTGAACCCATGATATTAACTTTGTTGATCTGATTGTACGTAATTGACTTAAAATCTGGAAGATTTGTTGAGTTTCGTACGGAATTCTTTTTTCAGTGTAAGTGACAAAATAATTTTGACCCCTGTGTTCATATTTTCTCACTTTTTTATTTGATCAGATTCTTTTAGTCATATGCATTTGATTTACAAATGAATGTCAGTTTTTCATTCGATAATTTAACAGTTTTTCCCATTTATTATATTTTATTATAAATTTTAGTTCCAACTTGTTTATCTTATATATTATTCTATGTCAAGTGTACGTAAAGTTTTTCAATATAGATTTTTATATTAAGTTTGTTTGCTGTTAATGACTTACATATTACTGTAACTGTGACGTGCCATTGTCATAAGAAAACTTTTAATAATATCACTTTGTACACAGAATTTTTTTTATATATATATTTACAGGTATCTGGTGGATTATTGACTCCAAAACAAAAACTAACAAATGACTGTAGTGACAACTTGAACAAGAAGAAAAGGAGGATGAGTTCAAAGGTAAATAAAAGAACAAAAAAAGTGTACAAACAACTATAACAATATCTCCGATTACAGAATAATCTGGACAGTACTGGCGTAAATAGACAGTGGGCAAATTTGAACATTCTGGACATTTCTGCCTCTCCAAGATTTTTTTCTATCCAGAGCAATTTTGAAAAAAAAAAATCTTAAAACTTGTGCTTTACTCAAAACTTTTTTTTAGTCATGTGAGCCATATTAGCTGGCAGGCGGGATCATAAGACACATTTTTAAAACAAAATATTCCAATAATGCTTATTGTCTAATTTAGATAAATCTGGCAAAGCAATTTCAGAGGAGAAGATTTGCCAAAAAGTTACAGATTACGACAATAGTACACTTTTTTAACCTACTTTTAACGAGGAGTTTTACGGCTGGACAAGTGAGACCAGTCGGCCGTGTCTTTAAACCCTGTCAATCTTTTGGGTCTAGACACGAGGAAATACACTGTGTGGTATAAACGCTTTCATATGTTTTGTGTAGTTGTAAGATGCTTATTTTTCATTTATGTTATAGGAGTTTGAAGTTGGTACGTCTGTTGAAGCATTTTGGTATCCAGACAAGTGTTGGTATACTGCAAAAATATTAATGAAGACAGGAAAAGGTAAGTATTGTTTTATTAAAACAAAACTTAGATGACAAATGTTATCAGATTTGATATCAGACTGTACAAAGATCATTCTGTCGTATAAAGAAATAAAAGTGGAAATGTTTTGTACTCAATCAACACATGCAAGTTGAAAAAAATCATTTTAGTAAAGGTTTTCAAATCATGGTAGCAATCCTGATTAAGCAATTCAACAAAAAAAGTCATGACGTTTATTTTTACAGAATAATACTTGTACGAAACTTTTTTAGTTATGAACTGTTTTAAATCCATTTGCCAACCGAACGCCCAATATCAAATTTACTGTAATACAGAACTTTTCAAAAGCACTACTTTTAAGCGTTACATCGCCCTGAACATGCTATTTCCAGCTGGACGTATTTTTATAGATCTTTTTTAAGCTAGTCACATTTTTTTACGTTTTAAAATGTCCTTTTTTAAATGAGCTCATTGCGGCTTTATAATGGTCGAAAAGATAATATTCCACAGACTCAATATGATGAAAATCATATTTTTTTTTAAAGAAACAGTAGTAGCACCAGTAAACCGGTTAATCAGTTGATCAGTTAGGGTCAAACATTCATTCAAACATTAAGTCATATTAAGTCAGGGTCAAAGTTAATAAGGTCGGGTCAAGCATATTTGACATCACAAATCTACATTGTACTATATTTAATTTTACAAGGACCAGAGCAGAAGATTCTGGCAGTCATGTATTCTAAAACCAGGATTTAGGACACTAAATCTATCTGAAAATATACCGATAAAACATAACATGCTATATAATCACAAATACTCCGATAAAACATAACATGCTATATAATCACAAATACTCCTGTAAAAACATAACATGCTATATAATCACAAATACTCCTGTATTTATCAGTAATTTATATAAAACATAACATGCTATATAATCACAAATACTCCTGTATTTATCAGTAATTTATATGACAGGGGGTACTACTTTGTATTCAATCTGCGCTACAAAAAGGACACCTTCGACACAAATTGCATTTATCCCTGATTGACTTCGACGAAACAATGCAAACTTCGTGGACGTTTTTGTTTTGAGGTATTGGAACTTTCTTAACATGACAAAAGTAATTTTAAAATATTATCCCTCATTTTTTTTACAATCTACTATTCAGGAATAATTCATGACATGAATATATATTTGGTAAAGCATACACGAAAGATCTTTTAAGATAGTTGCTTCGTTATTATGAACAAGTTAGACCTGATTTATAGAAAAGAGTATTTCGGTCGAATGTCGAATGGCAAGCAACATAATAAATCAATTATTATTGTACAAAAGTTATTCTGGTTATTTAGTTATATCTATATACCTATAGTTGTAGGATTTATGAATGTGCGAATTGTTTGCATCTAACCAACTACTTCTAGGTATGTGTAAATTGTATGAATCTTTAGAGAGCTTTTTTTACGTTTTACCTAATCATCGTTTCTAAATCATCATATCTTCCTCATTAGTACTCAATAGAGAGTTACATAAAAAATGTATGAATTAATCATTAAACGTAAAAGACATCATATCAGTTTGGAAATGATTTAACCTTGAGAACTTTTTGATTAAACAGACTGAATATGGAATGATCCTAAATGGCCTTGATTTACTTTGTCAACGCTCAGACTTTTTATAAAAACTTCAACACTCCATCAGTACACACTTTTCCTTATTTTGTTCAATTTTATAAGCTAGTTTATTAAAAAGAAAAAGAACTTGTTATATTGGACATATTTCTATACGAAATTCATGCTTGTTCCTTAGTGGAAAAAATTTGTCGTGCAATGAACGTATTTGATATTTCCCGATGTCGAACAAGCTGTTTTGTTTCTACAATTGTTTCTAGTAGTAATCGAATCAACACGGGATCCTTCTAACCAGGCACACACACATGACGTCTGGCCCAGTTGACGCGCTTGGACGAAAAGCTGAGTCGATGTAATATTGGAACCACTCTGCTTGCACAGATTAACCGCCTTATGATATGTGAAGTTTTCTGTAATGTTTCCAGAGAAAGGTATGTTGATAAGTTTGCCTGAAAAATACAGTTAATGTATTTGTATATATCCCTGAGGCGAAATTATATTGTTTTTTTGCTGTGATCATTTAAAGTAACACCACGTTTCCGGATTTAGCGAACATTTATGATTTTTAATATAATATCTTACTTCCACATCTGGTACTTGAATATCGTAGTTTCAATAAGTTTTTTTAGAAAAAGTTAAACGAATTCTGGTTAAAATAAATCTGTTAACAAAATGATGGTATCGAATTCAGAATGCCATCCTTTTGGCTCCTTGGATATTTCAAAAAGTGTTATAAAACTAAGACGTAAGTATTTATATCATAGAATTCTTCACAGTAAAGCTTCAAAATTCATATATTTACTGCATAACAGCAACAACTTCTAAAAAAGCATCATTTTAAAACCTTGTCATCAATATTAAGACAGCTCCACTCAAAATAGTTTGACACAAAATATATGTTATAAAATATATGTTTTTGTTTTTTTTTGTAAAAATCGTTAATAAAGACAACAGTAGTATACCGCTGTTCAGAAGTTATAAATCAATTGAGAGAAAACAAATCCGGGTTACGAAATAATTAAAACCGAGGGAAACACATCAACTATAATAGGAAAACAACGAAACAACAGAACACTGAAGTGCAACAAAAAACAAACGACAATGCAACATACATAGAAACGAACTTTTAGATACCAACTGCCATATTCCTGACTTAGTACAGGACATATTTAGAAAAAATGGTGGGTTGAACCTGGTTTTGTGGCTAGCCAAACCTCGCGCTTTATGGCAATGTTAAATGTATCGCTAACATGACATATCCAAAATAAATAGCTTTTAATTCTGTTATTATAAATTACATACTGAACCCCTTTTAGATGTTTTATGATCACAATTGGTTTTTAGTAGGGATCGTGTCGCTTAGTCTATATTGTTCTGTGTTTTAAACACTACGGTTTGTTTTTTTGTCGTTTTTATTTTTTGTCATGGCTTTCTCGGTTGCTCTTCAACTTGAAGACTTTTAAATGTCCCTTTGATATCTTTCACTGTTTTAACAAAAGAAATGCTACAGGAATTTTAACGATATGTAATACTTTCATAAAACAAAGGCAATTATACTAACCACAAAACAGACCATTGTAGTAGCTCTGGGACCCAACAGGACAAGCTTCACAATGTTTTGTCACTTCTGAGAAATACTGTTTGTTCTGAGGACAACATAAATCTCCATTTGATTTTTGTTTGCGTATTCTACAATTTATAAGCAATTGGTGAGTAATTAGTTATAGATATAAGTAATTGGTAAGTAATCAGCCAGTTATAGATATAAGTAATTGGTAAGTACTCAGTCAGTTATAGATATAAGTAATTGGTAAGTACTCAGTCAGTTAGGGATCATAGATTTATTCTTACGAGGAAGCTCCGAGCATGCTCGGAGGATGCTCAGAGCTTTTTCAGTAGGCTCTTCTCTGCAGTTTATGTGAAAATAATTATCATGATCAATTAAGATGTCAATCAAATCTACACCACTTCTATAATAAGGAAAGTAGAGCATTATAGAGGAAGCTCAATTAACACCTGTGTAAACATCTTATCTATTCAAATACATTTTGCCTGAAATTTTACAAAACTATAGAATAGATTAGAAATTCTTCAACAGTACTGTGTAATGCTTGGAAAGAAACATCTCATGTCTCCACAAAAAGTGAAAGTCATTTAACAAAAAATATACAATTATTATATTTTTAAAATAATCATTTCTTTTTTTATAATGAAAAAAATTCTCAAATTTTATAATTAGATGATATGATATAAATAAAGTTTATATTATATAATATGCTACATAAAAGTTACCAAGACACAAACAACAGTCAGGGGGCGATACTAAACAAGTTATTTTTTTAGTTACTTATATTAATAGGTATTTTTTGTTTTTTTAAATTATTTGATATAATCTCAATTGTTATTTTAACTGTCAAAAGTGGACTAAATGTAGTTTTTAAGGATTTTTTCATCATTTCATTAAGTAAAATTAAGTATTTATCCAACTTGAGATGAGTATAGAGAGATTACTTTAAAAATAATGACAAAAATATTACTTTTATAAATTATTTTATACATCTTCGAAAAACTAAGCATACTTACAATTATTTAAGGAACATATGTAATTGTTTTTGAAAAATATTTCAAATTATAAATAACTTCAAGTCTTAATTAAATCACAAGGTTCCATCCATTTATATTTGTTCATCTCTAAGATTTTGAAGGAAAATGTTATTTTAATAGCCCCAAGAGACCAATCTATGACCAAGAAGTGTGGCATCAGAAAGGCAATTAGTGTTTCAGGAGGATTTTTAAAAATAGTTTTATACTGCATGGGGAAAATAACCAGATGTGAAAATTTGTTAAAGCTTGTAAAACCTGTATGAATGGACACCTATAGAAATAATATTAACAGAAGTTACTTATTCATGATATATAAGTAATATTTGAAACAACCTTGTTTTCAATATAACTTGTATAGGTTATTTTGAAAATTACTAGTTTAAGTAATGCACTTAACTAAACAATGGTATTTTTTTTTTTATAAAATAGCAGTTTGTTTTTTATATAAAATATTTTTGCAATTTTTAACGGACATGGCTACTAAAGCTTGTAAACAGAGAAAAAAAAGGGGATAGAATTTGGTTGGTTAATTCTGGTGATGTCTTCTTTCTTATATGCACTGAAAAATTATGTTGTTTTATTACTATAGTACAGGACAAGAAAAAACTTTACTCATGTCAAGTATTTCTTTATTTAAAACATAGATAAATTCTGCACATATTTTTGGAAAAATACCAATTAAACAAAGACTGATAGGGGGAAACAATTTTATATTAGATTTTCATTCAAGTACAGGTCAGGATAAAACTTCACTTATATAATTATGCCAAGTATTTCTTTATTTAAAATAAAACCAAATCTGCACAATTATAAAAAAAAATGACAATTAAAGTGAGACGTACTAGAGGGAAAACAATGGTGGTATTACCTCCTCAACTTTTCTTAGAGTAGCCATAATTTTTTTTATAAAAAACTTACTTTGCTATTTTATAAAAAAAAAAAAAAATTATCATTGTTTTAATAGTTAGGGGCATTACTTAAACAAGTAATTTTCAAAATTACTTGTACAAGTTATATTGAAAACAAGGTTGTTTCAAATATTACTTATATATCATGAATAAGTAACTTCTGTTAATATTATTTCTATAGGTGTCCATTCATACAGGTTTTACAAGCTTTACCAAATTTTCACATCTGGTTATTTTCCTTCCCAATGCAGTATAAAACTATTTAAATCCTCCTGAAACACTAATTGCCTTTCTGATGCCACACTTCTTGGTCATAGATTGGTCTCTTGGGGCTATTAAAATAACATTTTCCTTTAAAATCTTAGAGATGAACAAATATAAATGGATGGAACTTTGTGATTTAATTAAGACTTGAAGTTATTTATAATTTGAAATCTTTATCAAAAACAAATACATATGTTCCTTAAATAATTGTAAGTATGCTTAGTTTTTCGAAGATGTATAAAATAATTTATAAAAGTAATATTTTTGTCATTATTTTTAAAGTAATCTCTCTATACTCATCTCAAGTTGGATAAATACTTAATTTTACTTAATGAAATGATGAAAAAATTCTTAAAAACTACATTTAGTCCACTTTTGACATTTAAAATAACTATTGAGTTTATATCAAATAATTTAAAAAAACAAAAAATACCTATTAATATATATTAAGTAACTAAAAAAAATAACTTGTTTAGTATCGCCCCCTGACTGTTGTTTGTGTCTTGATAACTTTTATGTATCATATTATATAATATAAACTATATTTAAATCATATCATCTAATTATAAAATTTGAGAATTTTTTTTATTATAAAAAAAGAAATGATTAATAAATATAATAATTGTATATTTTTTGTTAAATGACTTTCACTTTTTTGTGGAGACTTTAGATTTCTTTCCAAGCATTACACAGTACTGTTGAAGAATTTCTTATCTTTTCTATAATTTGTAAAATGTCATGCAAAATGTATTTGAATAGATCAGTTGTTTACACAGGTGTTAATTGAGCTTCCTCTATAATGCTCAACTTTCCTTATTATAGAAGTGGTGTAGATTTGATTGACATCTTAATGGATCATGATAATTATTTTCACATAAACTGCAGAGAAGAGCCTCCTGAAAAAGCTCTGAGCATCCTCCGAGCATGCTCGGAGCTTCCTCGTAAGAATAAATCTATGATCCCTTATAGATATAAGTATTTGGTAAGTACTCAGTCAGTTATAGATATAAGTATTTGGTAAGTACTCAGTCCGTTATAGATATAAGTATTTGGTTAGTACTCAGTCAGTTATAGATATAAATAATTGGTAAGTACTCAGTAAGTTATAGATATAATTTTTTTGTAAGTATTCAGTCAGTTATAGATATAAGTAATTGGTGAGTACTCAGTCAGTTATAGATATAAGTAATTGGTAAGTACTCAGTCAGTTATAAATATAGGTATTTGGTTAGTACTCAGTAAGTTATAAATATAAGTAATTGGTAAGTACTCAGTCAGTTATAGATATAAGTAATTGGTTAGTACTCGGTCAGTAATAGATATAAGTAATTGGTGATTAGCAAGTCATTGGTATAAATATTTAGTGAATAAAAAGTAATATTTATAAGTGATTGGTGAGTTATAAGTAAGAGTATAAGTAATTTTTAAGTATAAAGTCAAACGTCGAAGTAATTGGCGAACAATAACTCATTTTTATAAGTAGTTGGTCAGTAAAACATTATAAGTCTAAGTAATTGTTGAGTAACGAAGATAGGTATAAGTACTATTTTCCTGTCTGTAACACCTTTTCATCTGTCTTGTTTGTCACATTAGTGTGCTATTTTCTTGAATTCCTCCTACGTTTGGTATTTTACAACTCCTATCTATCACAAGTGTGTCGGTATACTGTACTTGGGAATCATCCCTACGATTAAAACCATATTCAAAGTCCGATTTGTTGTTGCGTCAAAGATTTATTTAAAAAATTAACTTCATTTTGCATATTTAATACCAATTACTGAGGAAAGCTAAAAATTGCCTAAATATAATAAAAAATCATTATTCTATTAGGACTTAACAGTTTATCGAAAATATGTAATGTTAAGGATAAGTTTTCATCAGGTAAACATTTTAACAAAACATATGATACGTAGAGACTGCACTTACATGTTAAGAAAATGAGAATCATCAAGACATTGTATAAGATGAACAAAATACGTATTCAGTGGGTATTTTTTGTTATATTAAACAGTATGCATGTGTTTCCTTTTCGGTTATTTCCTTGTTAAGTAACTCGTTCTGAAAAGGTTATAAATTCTTTGGATTTTCGGAATATTTAAATATTTAAAATTAGTTTTTTTAACATATCAAAATTTTCACACATTTTCAGTTTATAAACTTTCAGAAGTTACTAGAAATGCAAACCATAATGAAGTGTGTCATCTGTTACCTTAGAGTAAAAAGAAACATGTATTATTCATCGGATAATACTGTCTATTTTCGTTAAATGCAACAATCATCAATACCCAGATTTATTCGAAACACTTCCAAAAGTGGTAAATACTTGACATGTTTTAAATATTTGTTACTTTATATGTCAACATAATTTAGGACCCATAATACAGATCGTCAGGTTTCGTTTTTGATTAAATTAGTCTCCGAACTATACCAGCATGAGCACAGACTCAATTATCAATCAACAAGGCATTGATGTTAACCTGTATTACAAAGAAACACGTGACACTGTCATATGTTTACGTAGCCTTGTAGTTGTGCACACTGGGATATTCACGATAGCGTTTCAGTTACAGATATCTCCCGTATTTTTTTATACAGTAATACCAGGATTATTTATACTTTATAAACATACTTCCTGTCAGCGTTATACTTCCACGGTAATTAGTAGAAAATGTTATCTGTGCATCATTCATACCTTGATATTTCTCTTTTCCGCCGTTGCAAAGGTCGAGATGGATCAACAGAGCAGAACTTGATACCAATTTTTAGAGGAACATCTGTGACTGGTTCATCTAGATGAAGTTGTTCATATCCCTCCACTCGTAAATTAAACTTTGAGTATACGGACGGTAGCAGTATACTGTTGTCTTTTTTGCCTGTAAAGCAATCATTTTTTGTTAAAAGGTTGAGCTATAAGTAACTATAAATATACCAGTGTGCATTGTACATGCATAAGTTAAACAAAATTTTAATGTAACTTTGCCGTAAAGTGTACAATACGTTGAAGATGATATGCTGGCATACAAGTATAAAATGATAGATGCATAAGCAAAAAACCCCAAAACTATATAGAGTTAACATAATGAAAATGTCTGATGCTATTTACATAGTGTTTATCGATGACGATGCGGTAATGTCATGATGTGAATGAGATATGCTGGTAATAGTTGCATTATTTTTATCTATGACGATGCGGTAATGTCATAATGAGAATTATTATTTGTATTGTGTTTACCGATGACGATGCGGTAATGTCATGATGAGAATAAGATATGCTGATAATAGTTGCATTGTGTTTATCAATGACGATGCAGTAATGTCATAATGAGAATTGCTATTTGCAATGTGTTTATCTATGACGATGCGGTAATGTCAAGATGAAAATGAGATATGCTGATAATAGTTGCATTGTGTTTACCGATGACGATTCGGTAGTGTCATGATGAGAATGAGATATGCTGATAATAGTTGCATTCTGTTTATCGACGACGATGCAGTAATGTCATAATGAAAATTGCTATTTGCATTGTGTTTATCGATGACGATGCGGTAATTTCATGATGAGAATGAGATATGCTGATAATAGTTGCATTGTGTTTACCGATGACGATTCGGTAGTGTCATGATGAGAATGAGATATGCTGATAATAGTTGCATTGTATTTATCGACGACGATGCGGTAATGTCATGATGAGAATGGGGTAAGATAACAACACTTTTGACAAGTTAAAATAATATCTAATTGCAAAATACAGAAAGGATTTCAAATAAGTAACAATATAAGTATTTAATTTCTTGCATTTAATAAGGACAGATAGATTGATGTTTTTAATAATGTCCAAATAGTCTCAACCTAAGGTTGCTTTCTGATTTTCGTGTATCCTATATCTCGGTTTAGTCATTGTAAATCGCAAATGAAACTGCAGATAAAAAATAGTATTACTTATTGAATTAGGGCATATCTGTGGAAAAGATGATCGTTCGTTCCTGCCACATACTCGGTATGGATTGGGTATTCTTTGCTGGCGGCAACTGTAACCGTGACCTTCTGTGTATGATATCTTGAGGCGGTCAGTCATCTGTTTGAGTGGTGATATGATGTAATTTGTCTCAGCATCTTGAAACAATTTGTTGTCGACGTTTGTTGGGGTGACTTGCACAAGTACCTAATAAAGAAAATAATTTAGTAAAGTAGGAAAAACATAGTCAAAACAAACCATGATACATAATCCTTTCTGAATAGTTTAGAATTTTACTCAGACACTATTTTCAAATAATGCTGGACATTTGGATTGATCTTAATTACAATATACTGTAAAAATGTGAAACAGGAAGTAGACCATACTATTTTCACGTCTATACCACGAATTGATTGACAGAGAAGACGTCATTGTATAAACGTTCAATAAGGACTTGATAACACGGTTTTAAATAGCGGTTGTAGGCTGATATGCAAATTAACCCAGTGTGTCCTATTCCCGATTGTGATACTTTGACTTAATATGGATTCGCATGGCAGGTGTTGCAAACATAGAAGTTGACGCTTATAAGTTGACATAAAATTTATAAAGTGTTGTTTTCATTTTTTACAGCAATGGGTCGATATCTCTGCTATCTACCCGAAGGTATCACTAGCTTAGTAGCTAGTACTTCGGTACTGCCATGATTTATAACAAACCTTTCTCAAATATCCGTTTTTTAATTTTGAAATTATAAGTAACTGAAGTTTCAACTCCCTTAGGCAAAGTTGACCTTAAATAAATATGGCTATTTTTAGGTCTTTTTGTTCATATAGCTCTTCACTGTTTTGGTTATTATACATTTTCGGCTTTCAAATATTCGGCTTTGAGCGTTCCTGATGAAGGTAAATCCGAAAAAGCGATTCTGACGCATGACCCAGGAATTATCTAGTCGTTAATGATTTATTGTATGGTTAAAAATGCGGATTCTTTAGATGTTAAACCTTTCAAAAGACCAATTTTGAAGTTGTATAGAATCGTGTAATAACGATCCCTATTTGACAATCTTGTTTATAAACTTAAAATGAAATCGAACAGGTTTAAAAGGAGATGATTCTATTTTTGTTTTTTTGTTTTTTTTTTAATTTACAAATAAATTGACAACGTACTAAATGTATTGAAAGGTGCAATAATATATATAACACATAGTCCACATGGTTGTTATTAATTTTAGTTTGGTAAGCTTTGTTGATTCAAACACTGTTAATTGTTAATTGCTTATTGTTAAGCAATGAACAAAAATGTGAAATGTTTTATTGGGATTTCAGAAAATACTGCATAAAAACAATGTTATCAGTATTTAAAATGCAACTTTGTTTTCGGAACTTATCGATTGCAATTTTCACAGTGTGAAACAACGCAAAAATTATTGGATTTACTGTAAGTAATTAAAATATTTACCGGACTAGCGTCATCGCTAACAATCGGCATATATATTTCAAACCCAGCCAGATAAAAGCTATGATTTCTTTGTGATGGTAAAAGTTTAGCATGCTGCATCCACCAGTTCGTTTCTGGTACTTGAAATGGAACAGTTTTACCACGAAATAACATAGAAAGGTCTAACCAAGAATAGTCGCCAGTTTTGTTCGTCCTTTTTGTTGACATTGTTATAAATTTCAATTCAGCGTGACATTCGCTTTCTCTTGATGCTAATAACTTGTCAATATCTGTAGCCAATCCGTTACACAACTGTGGCTTTCGTCCCCCCTGCTTATATTCTAAAATGTTACACAGCATTTGAACATTAGTTGTCTGTAAAATATTGTACGACATCGATGAAACTGCTACTAAGGTTTTAATAGTGTCAACGGATAAACCACTTGGATGCTGAGCCTTTGGACCTTCTCCGAGAATTTTAGAGCTTTGTATCTGAGTGAGGCTTCGCATTAAATTTGCCATTGTTTCCATAAGGTCAAACTGAAGGTCGTATACCTCTTCCTGTGTTGCTACCAATTGTTCGGCCGTTATTTTAGCTTCACGACACCTGCCTGTTGCACCAGTAATTCCTCTTATTGCATTTGCAGCTATACTACCCGTAGAAGCAATGCCCTCGCATATTTCTTCGATAAATAGTGCCCAATACGCACCTAGTTTGGCTAGATCATCTTTTGTAACTTGAGGGGAATAGGAAGTATAGTCTCTCAAAAAATTGGACTGCATTGTTTCATAACCATTTCCAGATGACTCTACAATCTTCACAGCACTATCCATTATCTTGCCAACATTCTTTATCATCTTCTCATTTTTTGCCAGTTTCTTTGCAATTTCAGTGCTGTATTCCACAAGCTTATGAAAATTAGCTGCACTCCCAATGGCATGAGTTAAAAGTCTAGATGCTTCTGCTATTTCTGTCGCGGACTCCAAAATATCGTCGGAATTCCCACTATCAAACAGCCATTTAAATGGATTTGCAGCCATTGCCATTCGCAATACCATCTTTAATACGGCTTGAAGTAAATCTTCCAAGGCACTACCAATGTAAATGACTAGTAACTTTCTTAGTTTTACCTTGAGTTCATCTACATATTTGACAAATCTATTTTGATAGTCTTCAATTCTACCTTTAAGATAACGAACGTCCGCATCTAGCTTTGCGTTTTGGTACGAGGCTACTTTCTTGAAGTATGTTCCAAGTTGTTGAAATCGGTGTTGTACATCATTCTTGATATCCATAGCAACGACTTGTAGACTGACTGCATTCTTCTCTGCTAGTTCTTTTATTTGAGTTACTTTTAAGTTTTTTATATAATCCCGAAAGTCAATATCTGAAACCAAAAACTTGCGAGGTAAAACATCAGCGTTACCTGTACCATAGGTTTGAAGGTATAAACGGAGCTCGTTAAATACCTTAGCGCATGAGCAAATCGTCCATTTGAATGATGGGAATGGCGCATTGTAATCACACGGTAAATACTGACTTTTGGGAAGTATCTTTAACAGTTTGACAGCTAGCGATAAGTCATTGGCTTTAAAATCGTCATACAGTTGAAAAAAAATGCTAAGTATTCCTGTTCTGACAGCTTCTTCTCTTGTGTTTGTGTCAAACAGGTTAACAATATCTGCCGGCATTTTAACCCTCATACTAAAGAAGTTGATATACGCTGCACTTTTAAAGAACTTAAAGTCTGATGAACTAGTTTGCCATTCGGTTTGGACAACAATGTTGCATAGATTTGTCATTGAATCTACTAAGTCAAGAACCGGTTCTAGTCTACAGATAGGCTCTGTTTCCCTGTAGTTGCAAATCTTCTTCACCTCTTGACGTAGATTTTTTGCAACTGCTGTGTCCAACGGTTTTGACCAAGTGCAGAAATTTTTCCGAGAGAGTAAATACTTACTCCATTTAGATACATATTCCCACTGGGATGTCGGACGAGGCGAAGTGATATTCACTGGGCCACAATTAAGATTTAGAAATACTCGGTCCATGTACCACGTCGACAGAAGCACTGTATACATGTACCACGAATCTTTGAATCCGGTCCCAATGTTTCGTTCTAGTCTTCTTATATCATCAATCATGTGGTTTCCAATGGTAGTTATCCTGTGGTAAGCACATTTTGGGGAAGAACTGTCCATGAATGTGCATATTTTTCCGGCCTCTTCCATCCTTTTACTGTGTGAAATGTTTCCGAAGATATTCTTGCCTACTTTTTCGAGTTGGGCATCAAATAGATTCTTGAACTCGTTAATATTGGGACCATTTTTTCGTCCTGGTAATGCAAACATTAGGCAAAATACTCTCATATCGGGATTTTGTATAATCGATTGCGTAGCCATCCCATGATTCAAAACAAAGACAAGTACTGTCACTATCAACCATGTTACCATCATCTCTGTAAAGTTAACGAGATTATGGTATGGGAACAGGAACATCATAATTTAAAGTATGTAAATAAGAGCAGATAACTTAAATTGAAGATATTTTTTTCTGTCATCACAATTTGATAGACTAAAATATTGTAATGTAGTCAATAAGTAAGGAACAAAAGTAAATCATATTGAATATCAGAGGTAACCAAATTAAGCATCTAGAAGTAATCTTGAAAGTGTAGAAATAGTAGTTGTTTTTATATGCACTGTGTATTTTATGCTCTTGTATGTTGAGCTTTCGAAATAAGGATATTGGTCTATTTGTTCTAAGCCTGGTTCAAAAATCAAGTGTATTTAATATTGTCGTTTCATAATAATTTTGTTATTCTATTGTTTGTTGATTCAGAAAATGTGTTTACACTGTTTAGAGGTATAGGAAGGTAAATAAAGGCAACAGTAGTATACCGCTGTTCAATAGTCAGAAATCGATTAAGCAAAAACAAAGCCAGGTTACAAGCTAAACCGAGGAAACAAATCAACTTGAAACTGCCTATTTGTTACAACTGCCATATTCCTGACTTAGTACAGAACATATAAAGAAAAAATGGTGGGTTGAACCCGGTTTTATGGCTGGCTAAAATGAAGGTACATCTATTTGTTTTTACAGAAAATACATTATCAATAATGATACAGTTACAGATCTTGGCTCTCCTTTTTCAGTATTTTTATTGGTTGGTAGATTTTGCCTCATTCAATTGAGTCGTTTACAACTGGTGCCCGATTGTGATTTTGTTTCGTTTTAGCTGTTAACATTTTGCTGTATTCAAATGTATGTTGTTTGAATAATGTGATAGAATTATAGTTTCAAATTATTTTATACCGTATGAACTGAAAAAGTAAGACACATAAACATGGTAATTAATAAATAAATTCTCACCTCTTAGTTTAAGATATCCGATATTTACCACATAAGTGGTAAAATGAGCGTGGGACTTGACGACCAACTATTTATACAAATACAAGCTCCGAAACAAATGATTAACTAAAACTTCTAGTTTTTAACGAAAAACCACAAATGTCTCTATTTGATAAAGTTAGCAAGATGAGATTCGGAAAGTCTGTTTCGTTTATGATAAAACGACGTTTATGTTGAAGGGTGACATCCTTTTTCCGGTCAATAGATAAAGTGTTCCGGTCACTTAGTTGGAACATGTTCGGGTTTTCCAACTATAAGAAATGATTCAAGTGATATTGTTATTTACAGTAATTTACTATTGTGCTCACTTAAATTCACTTCTCTATTTTACTTTTGAGCTTTTTATTGTTTGTGGAAGTCCTTATATAAACACTTTTAACAAGGCTGATGGTCAAATCCTTTGATATTGATATGTCAACAGTAAGATGCCTCTCTTTAATATTTATTCTGTGGAAATGATTCCATACAATAATGATCTTTTGTGTTGTTGCACACATTTTTATATGGTTTTTAGAGGCTTTGTAACCAGTTCAGTTACCAGTTCAGGCAACTTGGCCATGTGTTGTTCCTTTCTTGTAGTATTCAGGCACCTCAGAAAATCAAATTCAATGTGTCCCAGGCAGATAACCTAGCCGTATTTTGCACAATATTTTTGAATTTTGGGTCATCAATGCTGTTCATCTTTAGGCCTGGCACCTTTGGTAACTATTAGCTTGTCGTAATGTTCTATTGTATTGTTTTTTTGTGTGTTTCTCTGTTCTGTATGTTCTTCCATTTATTTGTATTGTAGTCCTGTCATGTAATATTGTCATTTTAGTGTTATATTTAACATTGACATTAAGTGGGAGGTTTGGCTAACCACAAAACCAGGTTCAACCCACCATTTTCCCTTAAAATGTCCTGAACCAAGTCAGGAAAATGGCTATTTTTTTCTAATAGTTCGTTTCTGTGTGTGTTGCATTTCAGTATTTCTGTTGTGTCTTTGTTCTCCTCTTATATTTGATGTGTTTCCCTCAGTTTTAGTTTGTAACCCGGATTTGTTTTTTTTTTCTCAATCGATTTATGAATTTTGAACAGCGGTATACTACTGTTTCTTTTCTTTATCAGTCATCAACTCCCTGTGTTTAACACTAAGAATGAACAAAAATGCCAGAACGAATTGATCCCTTTTATCCATAAAAAGTGTGAATATTAAGGCACTTCTTAGGAAGAACGATAAGAAGTTAGCAATGTCCTTTAACTCTACGTTCCGCTATATAGATGATTTTCTTTAACTAACTAATACAAAATTTGGTGACTATGTTGAACGAATTTATCCCATCGAACTAGAGGTAAAGGATACTACAGATACAGTTAAGTCTGCCTCATATCTTGACTTACATCTAGAAATTGACAATGAGGGTCGGTTGAAAACAAAACTTTACGACAAAAGAGATGATTTCAGCTTCCCAATTGTGAACTTTCCATTTCTATGTAGCAACATTCCAGCAGCGCCTGCATACGGAGTATATATCTCCCAATTGATACGATATTCCAGGGCTTGTGTTTCCTATCATGATTTCCTTGATAGAGGATTGCTTCTCACAAGGAAGCTATTAAACCAAGAGTTCCAAATGAGGAAGTTGAAATCATCCCTTCGTAAATTTTACGGACGCCATCACGAGTTGGTTGACCGTTATGGAATAACCGTTTCACAGATGATATCGGATATGTTCCTTATGTCGTAACTACAATACCCTTTCTTTTCACGAATTAGACTATTTACTGGATTTGTAATAACACAAGCAACACGACGGGTGCCGGAGCACCAGAGATCACCCCCAGTTTTTGGTGGGGTTTGTGTTGCTTAGTCTTTGGTTTTCTATGTTGTGTCATCTGTACTATTATTTGTCTGTTTGTCTTTTTATTTTTGGCCATTGCGTTGTCAGTTTGTTTTCGATCTATGAGTTTGACTGTCCCTCTGGCATCTTTCGTTCCTCTTTTTTAACGCTTAATAGAAATAGTTAATAGAAAAACATGATTAATGATTGTTGAAAGAAGTGTGTTAAGCTTAAGATTTAAATTATAGTGGAGATATAAAGACCTTAAATCATTTTGCTCCTTCAAATTGAATCAAAATGTTATTTCCTTAGAAGCATATAACTTAGTTTATGAGAAGGAGCGTCTTTCAAGTAAGACATTACTGTGGATTCATTTATATTCGTGGAAACTAATTTTCGTGGATTGAGGAAACTTTGTATTTTCGTGGTTTAATCAAGTTCTGCATACAAGCCTATAGAAAATTTGTACTTCGTTTAACATTTAAATTCGTGGTTCACCTGTAACAACGGAATCCACGGAAATTGGTATCCAACGAATAATAATGAATCTACATTATATAAGAGGGTATTATAATAAAATTAGTGATTATAAATCTTTCACTATTAGCCGTTGCTTTGTCAAGTGCTTGATAAACATGATATATATCTCTGGAAGCAGATATGCATCCGTATTCATCAATAAGGTTATTATAAAGTTGATTCATATGGAGGTTAATTGTTTCTTTAGCAGATCTGCATCCGTGACGATAATAAGATACATACAATAATGACTTATACAGTGGTAGATGTCCTTCAGATTTAATCTATTTAGAAATACTTTTAAAATTGGTTGTTTTAGAAGTAACTTCATGATATCTCGAAAAAAAAACGAAATCTAATGTCATACCTAAATAATAACATTGACGGTTTCAATTGTGTTGCACAAGACGCGCATTTTGGTTCAGTCATGCTCAAAAGCAAAAAAAAGTTAAACCAAATTTGGACAATCCAAGCTATGCAAAAGGGGGATACATTCTTTAAATAAAAACGATTTCCAATAATTCATGATTTATCCAGAAATGTAAGCTTTACTGCAAAAAAAATGAAATTAATGGAAAAGTGGTAGGTTTTCTTCAAATTTATTTTAAAGCAGAGTCATTGTATCAAAATAAGCTTTCGATCTATACTGTATCACAGCTCTGTGTGTGCTTGAGGTTCGAACAATATTTTAAACATTTCTGAACATTTGGCAACTATATAAATCTGACGAGGGATCAGAAAAAGAAACTTTGCTAGATTTTGCAAATTCAGTATGGCCTTTGATGCAGAATTTTACCAAACATGTATAATTTATAATATTGTTACCAAAAGTCCCATACGCCTTATATATAAACCTATTTTATTGAAAGTAACAGCTCATCGAATTGTAGAAGCCTTACTGTAACGCAAGGTTTGTCAGGTGTGGCAAATATTGCATTGATAGGTTGATGCTTCATAATTGAAATAGAAAATCCTTCACTTTGGGACACTTTTTACTTAAAACTGAAATTATGATTAAAAGTAATACAAAATTAAATGTAAATCGGTAGCAGAATTACTTAAAGAAACTAAATTTTTGTTATCACATGTGGTCAGGAATGCAAAGAGCTCCATTAATATTGAATTATGCTGTTAAATTAAAGCTTTCTTTTTTTATTTAGTCGTAACTATATGAAAAGTATACAGGCAGGCAGTCGTGGGTTGAATTTGCTAACACTATCTCTTTCTTTTTTCAGTATTTGCCAAATTTATGCACCATCCATACAGAAAAGCATCTTGCAAAGTTATTTTTCATCACCTTCAAATTTATCGATGATGTTCTGTCACTAATAACTCACATTGATGTCGATACAATGGAATTCTATGCGACTGTTACACAAGTGAGAGGTTTAGCTAGCTATAAAACTATGTTCAATCCACCATTTTCTACATAAGAAAATGTGTGTATCACTTCAGGAATATGGCAGTTGTTTTCCATTCGTTTGGTGTGTTTGAGCTTTTTATTTTGCCAACTGATTAGGGACTTTTTAGTTGAATTTCGGTATTTTTGTTATTTTACTTCTCACGTTTCAATCAGTGCCTATATTTCCTAGTAACTTTAGATTAAGGATACTACCGCAAGAAGGAAGTCTTCTTAATATCTTCATATTTTCGCGATATTGACACAGATCGGAGGCTTCAAACTAGAATCTGTGACATACTTAATGATTAAAAAAGAAAGACGAAAGATACCAAATGGACATTCACACTCATAAGTCGAAACTCAACTGACGACGCCATGGCCAAAAAAAAGAAAGGACCAAAAGACAAACATTGAATACAAAACTAAAGACTGAGCAACACAAACCCAACCAAAAAGTGGGGATGATCTCAGGTGCTCCAGTAGGATAAGCAGATCTTGCCCCATATGTGGCACTCGTCCTTTTTCTCATGTACGAACACATACGGTTATAAGTCTTATTCGTTAGGTCACATTCAGGGACAAGAGGACAATTTTCAATTGTAAAGTTCCATTTCCCAGAAGTAGCAGACCCTCTGCTCTATTGTATGGCGTTAAATGTCTCATTTAATACGTTACTCTCAAGCTTTTCCACACTATACGAAATTCTTTAACAGAGTGATCTCCTTAAACAAAACTTGCTTCGACAAAGTAATGAGGAAGAATGACTGAAATAGACATAACATAAGTTGCACCTTCACAATCACGAATTGGTTGACTTATACCATGTGTCGTTTTGATTGACCGATACCATGTGTCGTTGTCTGAACTCACTTGTGACATGTTTTACTGGTCTTATATCTTAACATACCAGTATAGTCGTCTGATTTGTAATTTGACCAATTGTATCCTATTGTGACATTTTTACTGAGTGTAACCTCGTATTTCGGGTGATGCATGCATAGAAAAGACGCTAACTCTGTTGACGCATCTGGTCTGTTCCTTTATAATTCCAGTGATTCCCTCAGTTTTTCTCGTCCTAATCGATTTACGACTCAGATTTGAACATTAATTACAGTTAAATTAGCAATTAGAAAAGACAAAAATGCGAGATTAATTAATGCGATTTCAAGAAAATCTGCATACAAATATATGTATTAGACATCAGAATGCGGGTTCTTATTATCGCGAAGCTTGCCCAGTCGCATTATTCGCATTGATATAAATT